TGCGCATATGCAAGCTAGGCTACATGCAAGCTACGTTGTTGGCCAGGCTAGGCGTATGCAAGCCAAGCCATTTCGTAGGCCACGTGTATGCAAGCCATGCTACGACCTTGCCTAGGCCATGCGCACGCATGCCAGGCCGCGGTCTTGCCAACTGCAGCAGCCTTGGCTGTTACTACTGGTTGTTCTACTGGGCTGCGGCTGGCGAGACTGTGTCATGACCTGAGCCGCGGCCTGCCTCTGCCCTGTCTATGACTTATTGATGGCATGGGCTGCACCCATGCTGTAGCCTGGGCTGCGGTTTGTGCTGGGCTGCGACATGTGCTGCTACTTGGGCTGCAGCCTATGCTGCGGCATGTGCTACTGCACAGGCCGTGGCCTATGCTATGACCTAGGCTGTTACCTTAGCATTAAAATAGATATTTATGTTTCTTATAAATTTAACTAATAGATTCATTTGTAATGAGAATTGTGCTGTTAATTTGGAAAACAATTACAGAATGTGCTCATGGTGTCACCTGCATAGAAGTCATGATTAGGAAGTTTTTTTTAATAGCTTATTTCGCTATGCGTTGCTTCTGTTAGTTCTTGGACAATGGAACAAATTCGTAGGATAGTGAAATAAGTGTTTTTTTTCCCTTAGAATTGCATATTAGATGTGTGCTATTGTTAGTGGTTAATTTAATATAAATACTTTGCATCTTATGACGGACACGTGGCCTTTTGGCACCGAGTCAGGGTTTCCTAAATTCTCCCATTTTAAAATATTTAGGTGGCGACTCTGTATCTGGCAAAGCAGTCCATGTTTGGCACTACTTTTTCAAAAATCAGTTTCTCAAAACAATTTGCCGAATATGGACTCTTTGGTTCAGATTAAGAACCGTGACATTTTAAGAGTCCGAGCTGTAGTGACCCCAATATGAACGGAACGGGACTTAACCCTCCCGGGGCGTTCGGGGACGTCTACACAGTCATATGTGGTACATCCATTAGCATGGCAGTACAGTAAACAGTAGGTCTTAAAAGACCAGGCAGTCAATGATGGCCATCATAACAGTGGTTCCATATGGGAACCGACAGAGATCTCTGTAACAGTAGCAGTAACAGTAACAGTAGTTGCTAAGGATGCCACAATACAGTTCAGAATAGAGGACATACATTCATTCAGTTAACAGTAACAGTTCAAAAAGCAGTTCAGTTAACAGTCACAAAATATTCATCTTTGAACATATCTTTACACAGTTGTTACTCACAGAGTTCTGGGCTACAGTTAAGCTAGAGCGTGTCCTCGGATGCCAACCCTACACAGTTTACAGGATGAACACACACTAAGTTCACATTCGGGAAACAAAGACTTAGTCCCTACTTAGACTCGGTGTGGTTCTATATCTATATCCTCATTAAGATGCCTTAAACTAGGCCTAGGAATGCCTAGGATGAAATGAGGATGCAAGGATGCCCTTTAAAAGCATTTTCAGAAAATAGGGGTCACGCTCAAGCGTAGGTTACTCCGCTTGAGCGTAGACTTACCCGCTCGAGCGTTCTGCAAAACAGTCAAAAGTGCTGGATAGGTGAAATTCACGCTCGATTGGGCGCTCGACACCCGCTCGAGCGTAAGACACAAGGTCCCGCTCGAGCGTTAATTACCCCGCTCGAGCTGACTCAAAAATAGAACAAAATCCTGGGAGCACGATTTCTACGCTCGAGCGCCAGTCACCCCGCTCGAGCGTGAGTTCAAAATCTGGAATTCCCAGATTTGAACCTCAAGCTCAAAATCAGGTTTTAAAATACCAATTTTGATCCTCTTGGGCTAATTTTCCAGAAAACACTTCAAAACTCATAGTTTATCATGATTCAAAGCTCAATTGTAAAATCAAAGCCCCAAAGGAAGATCAATCAAACTCAATTTCAAACCAATTTCATGAACATGGCCTCAATTGGACATGCAAGACTTTAAACAACTTCAAAGCTTTAAATACATGCTCTAATGAGCCAATTTCTTTTCAAAACAAGATGAATTCATGGTCCATTGTAAAAATATGAACATGCATGTACACTTTCATGAAGAACAACATCAAAACTCAAGGATGTAAACATGCATGCATGAAATGAGCTTCCAATCAACATTATAAGCCATATCTTGGCTCCAATCTTCAACAATCCTCTAAATCATGCAAGAAATACTTCAATTCATGACTAAGAAGGTAAGAGCTCTACCGTATGTCTTCAATTATGAGAATATAAGCTCAAGTTTGCAAATTACTCTTCAATTCCATCACTTCTACCAAGTTTCCAAGCCAATTAGAGATGAAATCACACTCTCTCCTAACTCTCTCTCTCTAGTTCGGTTGAGCTCAACAAAATGGCTGATGAAATGTGTTTTGATACAAAGGAATGAGTCTCAAAAGTGCTAAGCTAATGGCCCACTAGTGGTGGCAAAATGGTGAATAAACCAACTTTTGCAATTTACCTTATTTTAATCTAATTTAATCATACTAAATCACATTTCAGATAAATATGCCATAAAATCTCATAAATTCTAAGGATCATAGAACATTAATTAATTTCAGATTCGGCCGCCGATAAGCCTTCAATTTGCAGTTTAAATATAAATACACAAACAGATAATCAAACAGGCAACAGATAGACATACAATTAAACAGATGTACTCAATCAATTCAGTTCTAGATTTCAATCAGTCAGTTCAGTATTTCAGTCGATTCAATTACTTATCATAATCAGTCTCAGTTTGACGGTAATCAGTAATCAATCGGTAAACAGTGGTGAGGGTTGTTACAGATACCCTTGGAGGATTCATGCATCTTCACTTCCATATGGGATCACTTACAAGATCAAAACCTTGGTACCTAATCACACATGTAGCAAGATGAACCAAAATAGTGAAGCAGCATCAACTTGGATTGCCAAGAAATTGGTTGATAGTTTTAAGGATAATCCACACATGGAGTTAGATACTATGAAAGTGAAGCTTAACAAACTATTTGAAATCGATGTTTCAAGAATGCAATTGTATAGAGCCAAAAGGAGGTGCAAGGAGGAGTTTGAGGGTGATCATGGGAGCCAATATGTATTGCTACCAACATATGTTAAGGAAATTAAAAAAACAAACCTTGGTAGCTTAGCTGTCATAAATTATGACCTGCGTCCTACCCTAATCTCAAAAGATGGAGAAGAACTAGACCGTATTCCTTAGCATCCATTGTTCCAAAGGATCTTCATATCATTTAAGGCAATGGAAAAAGAGTTTATTGATGGATGTAGGTCCTTCATAGGGGTGAATGGTAGTCACTTGAAGGGTTCCTATAGTGGAGTGTTAATTTCAGCAGTTGTCTTAGATGGAAATAATGGTTTGTTTCCATTGGCATTAGCAGTGGTGGAGGGTGAATGTAAGACAGTTGGGCTTTCTTTTTGGAGAACTTGAGAACAACCATAGAAGATGCACTGCCTTCTAGGCCATGGACCATCTTGTCTGATTGTCTGATTAAAAAAAGGAAATTTACTTTCATATTTGACAACTATTTACTTACATAATGCATTATCCTATATTTTTTATACTTTTAATGCTTACCAATGTTCCATTGTTTGTGTGTGCAGGGCCTTGACAAGATTGTGAGTGACACTATACCAGAGGCTACTCATAGAAGATGTTGCATGCACTTATTCAACAATTTCAGGGCCAAATTACCTGGATTGATATTGAGGAAGCAATTCTGGAAGGCAGTAAGGACATACAATGAGAGGGAGTATGATCAACCTATGCAATCCATTAAGGAAATTTCAAATGATGCTTTCACATGGCTGCAAAAAGTTACAATTGAAGGAAGGTCTAGGCATGCATTTGATGGTAGGATAAGGTGTGATCACATCACAAATAACATGACAGGGTCCTTCAACAATTGGTTAGGAAATATGAGATACCAACCAATTCTATCCATGTTGGAGAACATAAGGTGCAAGTTGATAGGTAAGTTTCAGATAAGATATTAGAAAGCTCTACAATGGAAGTCTAATGTCACTTTGAACATCAAGAAATAGCTTGAGGTCACACTGAAATGGTCAAGATATTGTAGAGTAGAGTATGCTGGAGGTCATGAGTATGAGGTGAAGGATAATGAAGGGGCGAATCACATTGTCCATCTTGGCATGATGACTTGTATGTGTAGAGAGTGGGAAATTTCTAGGGTCCCATGCAAACATGCTGTGGCTGCAATTTCTCATAGTAGATTGACCTTAGAAGATTTTTTCCACCCATACTACTCTAAGAAAAATTACTTGAGAGCCAATGATGGGCTAATACATCTCATCTTAGACCATACCATGTGGACACTTATACCTAGGGACCCTTTACAATCCCCACCTCTGAAAAGATTGCCAAGAAGGCCGAGGAATTCTAGGAAGAGGGTTGCTCATGAGCCTCTAGCTGGAACAAGTCAAAGTAAGAGGTCTTGTACATTGAGATATAAATTGTGCACGCAATTTGGGGGCAATAAGAGAACTTGCCAAAGAGGTCCAGTAAGGGGTGAAGCTAATGGAAGTGGCACAAGTGCTAGTAGAGGTAGTGGCACAAGTAGTGGTAGGGTTAGTGGCACAATTGTGGATAGGGGCAGAAGTTCTGTGAGAGGCACTTCAACTAGGAAAGGCACTTCAATTGGGAAGGGCACTTCAACTTGGAGGGGACATTCAACTGGGAGAGAACAATCAAGTGAGAAAGGAAGTTCAACTGGAAGAGGCAGGGGCAAGGGCAAGGCTAAGCATGCACATGTAAGTTTTTCTTACTTGTGCTCTGTGAAGTTACAATTTTTTTTCCCTTCTTCTTCTTGTTTTTTCATTGCCTGAATCCTAAAAAAAGGTTGTTTTTCCCTCCCTCCCCCTATTTTTTCTTACAGATGACTTAGCTAAGATATGATGATGTTTTTGGTACAAGTTCTTATCACAAGTTTAAGGTATATAACACATATTGATGTAGTGCACAGTTAGTCTCAGATCATGTTCCACTTTTTGTATTTTTGTAGTGGACATGACACACTAAGCATAGCAACAAGTAATCTCAGATGATATACCCACTTTTGTTTTTTGTAGTGGGTATGAAGTATATTCACTTGGTGTTTATATTTATATTTATATTTTGTGTACTTAGTGGAATGTTGTAATTGAACAGACATAATGTTCCATGGTGTTTACATAATAGTTAAATAGTTGTGTTGTGCTTGGTTCTGGAACTCTGGCGTGTGCTTCTTTCCTTTCACTTATGGCTGCCTTTTTGGTTTTTCTCTTGGCTTGGAATTTTTGCATTGTGCACTGTGGAGTTTTATGTTGTGCTTGGTATATATATACCTGAGATCAACTGCCCTGAAGGCATTATTGGTATTTTTGGCTTTATTGGTGATGATACCAACATGTTCTGTTATTTGTGGTAACGAAGGTTTACACAAGGCGGAATCTTGACAATGTCAAGTAAAGCAGGGGAAGTTTGTGTAATTATTCAAATCACAGGGAAGGTTCCTCCATTTGTCAGAAATCTCAGGGGAGGTGAGTGTAATTTACCCTTGATTTTATTGTACCAAATGTGCAAAAAAATATTTAAGCCTCTTTTGAGAAATGACAAAAAAGCCAATTTATTAGTTTAGTCAAGTCACATCACCTCTCTATTTTTTACACGTCTTTTCATAATAACTAAAAACAATTAACATTTTTTGTATTTCTCAAAACAATCCTTAGTTTAGAAAGCTTATTTGTAATAATGGAATAATTAGATATGATAATTTTAAATTAGGATCTAAGTTTTAATATAATGTCATGACAACAAAAATTCAGCTGGAACATTTAATGCAATCATACTCGCATAAAAAATATTTATTGTGTTTGGTTTGAGTTTTTTGAATTGAATTTTTTGAAAATTGAGTTTTCTGTTTTTCGTATTTTTTGTCTTTAGTGAAATTTTTAAAATTTTAAGCTTTTTTTTTAAAAAAAAAAAAAAAACTTTTTTAGATGTATCTTACTTAGATGTGTCTAAAAAGTAAAATATTGTGAAAAACTATTTTTAAAAAATTAATAAATACACAAAATATGAAAAATGTACTGAATTTTTGTTTTATTTTTTATTTTATTTTATATTTTTGGTATTTAGTGAATTTTTTAAATAATTTTTTCACAAAAATTATACTTTTTAAGTGTATTTATGTTAGGTGTGTCTATAAATTAAAAAAATTACTTAAAATATTAAAAAAAATCTAGTAAAAACAAAAAAAATACGAAAAATAAAACAGTAAAATTTTCTGAAAAATATTTTTAAAAAACTCAAACTAAGCAAAATGATTCATATTGATACTAATTTGTTTAAGAAAATAATAATAAAAGTCACCACATGATATGATTTAATAATCATTAATTACCTTAAAAATTTTAAAACCAAAAATTTAGTTTTGATCTATATTTAATAGGACATGATTTTCACCCAAAAAACAAAAAAAGATTCTTGAAAATTATTGATCATATATAGGGCTGCAAACGAGCAAAATTAAACCAAACTTTAGCCTCCGTTTGGGAAGTGAGCTGGTTTTTTGACTTTTTTGGCTATTTTGGCATGGGATAAAAAGCTTGGTTTAGGAAGAGCTTTTTGGCTTTTTTGGCTTTTTTGTAAGAAAAGAGTGTAATGATTATGGGTTGGATGTGATGTTTTGGTTGTTGTGGCTAAAATACCCTATTTTGTCTTTTGTGGCTAAAATAACCACAAAAACTCTTGTCAAACGGAGCCTAATAAGTTTAGACTCGTTTCTTAAGATTTTAACAAATTCGAGCTCGAGCTCAAGCTCAATAAAAATTTAACAAACCGAACTCGAGTCCAAAGGCAAAGGCTCCTGTTGATGGTATTGTTATTAATGGTCAGAGTCATGTGAATGAGAGTATGATCACAGGAGAATCAAAGCCAATAGCTAAGAGACCCGGTGACAAGGTACGGATGGTTTATTTTCTCTTAGTAGTAAAATTGATACTTCTGACATTTTTAAATCTTTAATCTAATGGCAAAATATGTATTTCTTATAACATCATGAATAGGTTATTGGTGGCACACACATGGATGAATGTAATCCACTGTACGACACCATTCATATGCCTTTTTATTCAGAATATACAAATTCGACAAAATGATTCTATTTTGTTTTTATTTTTTTAAATGGCATTTGAAGAGTCTCTTTAGAATAATTTAATGCAATGATGAAATTTAAACGGAAGAACCGAAAAAATGAAGGCAACACTCTGAAATCACCCTTCATTTTCCTTTTTGTTGGTGACAATGTAGATTCAATACTGCCCAGAAATTAGAAAAACGTGGAAAGTTGACCTTAAGGTATTGCATAATATCATTTTCTGCTTGTCTTTTTTTTTTTATTATTATATATATATTAGTGTATGTCCGTGTCTTTAGGCACGGTGCAAATAATGATGAGATCAAAATATAATTAAATGTAAAATTATTGGGTTAAAAGGTAATTTATCCCATTTATTGCTAAAAATTTCAAGTCAAAATATGAATGAAAGTTTGGTTAGTTTTGAAAAGACTAACGCAAAAACACTTGAAAATATTTTTAGTTGTATATTTTGAAAATAAACATTTCCCAATCAACTATTTAAAGTACGGCAAGTAACACAATCATAAACATTTCATTTTTATTAACAAATTTTATGACTCTAAAGTATATCAATGCAAACATTAAAAATAAAAGCACCCTTGCTAAGCAAGTTCATAAAAAATTGTAAACACAAAACAAAACATACAAACCAAGGTATCGTACATTTGTTAACACTCTATAATCCAAAAAAAATTATACCAAACAATGCACACCAGCCAGTATTCTGCAATGCAAAAAAAAAAAAAAAAACAAAAAACAAAAAAACAAATTAAAATTAAATATCAACCAACGCACACCAGCTATTACTCTGCAATCTAAGAAAATTAAAATTGAAACACACACCAACCAGTGCTCTGCAATCTAAAAAAATTAATTTAAATACCAAGCAATGTACACCTGGTAGTGCTACTGTTGCAAATCACATTGTAATAGTTATTTGCAAATTATAAACCTGAAACTACGTGAGAAAAATATAGGAAAAATAATAATAATTTTACTTGCCTACGAACAATGTGAAATGAGAAAAATGTACTCCCAACACAATCTGACATCAACCAAAAGCCTACAAATGTTGTGCAAACTTTCAGATATAACTAATTAAGTTGAGAAACAACTAATACACCTAGACAGTTCAATATAAAGCTAGACATTGGGTCATTGAGCAATCAACAATATTTTTTGATTAATACTAAATCACTTGTACATCCATGAAAATACTAAATCACTTATACGAAAAGTAGCAACCTTACAAAAAGTAGCAACCATACATAGCAGTCAAATTTTTTTTTCCAAATCACTTGTACATCTCTTGAGAATTTAAAACGAATAGCAAAAAGTCAACTCATCTCTCCACTTTTCGAAATAAAACCATTGATAGCAAAATCGGTAATAAAATCTAAAACTTAATAGGAAAATTGCAAATCAATGGTAAAGCTTATCAACTTTAATAATTTAAGTGATAAAGTTTCCCATGATTTTGCAATTTGTTTTGGTCTTACCACTGATTTGCAATTTCTCCAAAATTAATTTCAATAATCAAGTGTCACAAATAGAAAATACTTAATAGGTTACAATCAAGATGCGAAGAAATAAAAACATATAAAAAAAATGACTTACCCTGCAAGTCTTGGTAGTATTAGTTAGTTACAACACTCATTTCACTTTCCTAAGCTTAAGTCTCAGACTCTTCATATTACACTTCTCTCTTGCTAATTACAAAGAAAGAGAAAAATAGAAAGTAAAAATCAACAACAACAACCAAAAAAAAAAAAAATAGAAGAAACTAAACCTTAACCAACTAAACCACCTCTCTTTGGGCAATCAGCTAACCCTCCCCAATCAAGCATATATGTCTATGGATTACACCAATCTGAAAACATCAAGCATTATCTATAATAGTTGCAAAAGCAAAAATCATCAAGCACTAATTGAAAGTTCTAAACACATTATTAGATTTTAGCTCTTAAACACATTATCAATCACTAATGTTTATAAATGCCTCCCTCCATCAGCAAGCACTAATGATTCAGCAAATATATTTAATTTCTAAAATTGAGAATGTCAATCTTTTAGAGACATGGAATTCAGCATATAGGTAGATAACTTTTCAAGATGCAATTTGTCTCACACCATTTTATTCATTTATCTGCACTTTTTGCCTCCCTCTATCTCTACTCTCCCTCATCCCACACCCACACACCCTCTCTGTTTTTTAATCTATGTAGCAAATATTTTATGCACCTAGACACATGCGGGGTTCACACAAGAAACTACTATATATCAAAAAAATGTTTCAGAGACACATCGATATAGAGGGAAAAAGAGAGAGATTTACTGACCAAGAAAAATGCTCGTTCTTTGATATTCATGGATATCTTTGGCACCACAATGCAAGGAGCATCCGTTTCAAAAATCTTCAAACCACAATCTCAAAAGAAAGATTTCATAAACTCACAACTGAGATCCAATTGAGAGCATTCAACCTATTTAGAAGTAATGCAAACAAAAAACAAAAAAACTGCTAATTTTTTTGGTCTTTCCCAAAAACAATAAATAATAATAAAAATAATTAGCAAAGAGAACATTATCCAAAAAATAGATAAATTCATAAACTCAACCCAATCAAGCAAAGGGAAACTTTTTCCTCACCCCAGTCAAAAGTTTAGCAAATGGGAACTTTTTCCTCAACCAAAAGTTAGATCATTCGATTAATCTCCCCCTCACCTTCCATTCCTTGTGAATTAATAAACATATCAAACACATCAAATAGAGAAACAATTTATCAAGCATTTGGTGAACATTGTAGTAGCAAAAATTATATAGTGGTAAAAGTAATTATTTTGAACTTCAATTGTTGCAAACTATACTGAAATCGTTAGAATGGAATGAATAACAATAAATTTAATTACAATAACAGGAATTAGGTTGTAATTTATTCCAAGTGACATAAGGAAGTTGGTCTTTGAACTATGGAGATTGAGTAAAAGATTAAATCATCAACTTACAACATCATGAATGTACAAAAAATAAAAAT